CAGCGAGTTACGCAGTCGCCACCAACAGCTCTCTCTTGTGAACTTTTACCGCCAACTGGATAAGAGCCGGTTTCAAGAGATTCGAACATTGGCTAAGAAAATGTTGAGCTTGTTTGGCTCAACATATTTGTGTGAGAAGACATTCTCTGTTATGAACTTTAACAAGAACCGTGTGAGGACAAGACTAAGTGACTCTCACCTGCGTGACATTTTGCGCATCAAAACCACGGCCTTTGAACCAGACCTAGTCTATGTGCTGCAGTCCAGATCTCAGTTTCACCCTTCACATTAGTGCAGTCAAGTTTTTTTTTCAATTGAGAGGAATACATTGTAAAATCTCAGTTAATGTCAGTTGGTCTAAATCAGTTCTAAATATATTTGAACACATGTATACTTGGTGTTATGTTCCTGTTCACATTTTTTGAACTTAAAAGTTGACAGACAACCTTCATACTTTGTGTAATGTACTTTCTAATGTTCCTGACATATTTCAGCTTCCTGTTTTTTTGAGATTAAAGGCAGAGTGATTTAACACCTGTTTAGATTTGTCATCCAAGTCACAAAATGAAAAGTATGCCGTTTTCAATAAACTTTTGCATAAAATAGTTCATTTGCATTTAATTTTAATGGTTCATCAGAATGTCGGGCAAAATGGTCGGCCCTCGCACATGTTCACTTCATCAAATCTGGCACTCTTCCAAAAAAGTTTGGACACCCCTGTCTTAAAGGGTCTAAACGATCCATATCCTTTAAGTGGAAACAATGATGATCTTTATCAGGATTTATCATTATTGTAATCCACTGAATGCATCCTATTTAAGGAATATTGGCCGAATGAAGCTGGCCATATACAATGCAATTTTCTTTACCAACCTATGTGATGATGATGAATTGCAAAGAAGGAGTTTTATCAGTCATTCTTCATCATTCCATATTGATGAATATATGAAAGAAATATATTGACACTTCAAAAACAGAAGAGAAACAATAAAATCTAAATTGTGAAGATTTCCCTATACTTGGATTCAACTGCCATGGACTTCCTTAATAGAATTATAGAAGATTTTTTGCCCAATACTCATTTCGGCTTTTCCAGACATCTATATAGATGCAGCTAAGTGAAAACGCAGAACTTTTTTTGTTTTAATTTACTGATTTTATTTTCATAATTGACAGTGTGTACACCATGATTCAAATGCCAACCTTTTCATGATCTACTTGATCTCAATAAAAAATATTTGCATCCATTACTTATATAATTTACTCCACATAGGATACATAATATACCTTTTTTTTTTTTTTTTTGCAGGTCTGCTTTTGGCAGCTGCTAACTTTTTCCCTATAAGGTCTCTCTCCTCCCTGCTAGTCCCCAAATGCGGTGCTGGAGACAGGCAGGGAGGGAACGGAAGGAGGCGATAAACAGCGCAATCTTAAAAATATTAAATGTTTAAATTGCTATTAAGCCGCTTTTGATTTTAAAAGCCCTGACATTCCTAAAAGCACCTCCGGTTTAAATACGGTTTTGGTCAAAACTTATTTTAAAGGCATTCTCCATCTTTACCACTTAGGACATCATAGAGTCAAAAAGGCGTCCTGTAGACTTATCAATATTATAATAGAACTGTAGGCAAAGCTTTTTTTCATTTTGGAGTACGTTAGGGTTATAACCCCTGATCTATGTCTCTTTGGGGGCGGGGTTGGATTTCCCCTCACTTCCTGTCCCCACAGCCAAAACAGGAAGTGAATGAAAATCCCTGCAAAGCAATGCAATCACTGATTGTCATCAGAACTAGTGCCCCCCCTGAACATTTCCCCCCCATTCCTGTTCTGGTGACCACCCAAAAATTTGGAAATTTTTTTTCCGTTCATTCCCAGCAATAAACAGAGCTCATAGAAAGGGTGACTCTCTCTAATGGGGACACAGACAGCAATATAAACTGTCAAGCATTCTAATCCCTCTCAAGTCTATCAAAACTTTTAAAAAGCCTTTAGTGATAATACATAGAGCGACACAGAAGGGTCAGAGCTCTGAGAGCACAGGGCAGCCTCCTATTGTGTCATCAAAAAGGAGAGAGCACACCGACTTCCTGAGGGTGAAGGGCAAGCCTGCACCGGAGGAGGCAGCACACAGCCCGGCTCTCACACTCACTCACCGTAAACTTGGCGGCGTCTCCGGCTGCTGGTGACAGAACACAACGACCGGATATCAGAACCCGGAAGTGTGTGTGGCCATGGTTACAGAACGCATCCAGGCAGCAGACGCCGCACTAAACAGTCAAACAGGATCCGCCAATAACAGCCAGAGCTAGAGCGATGGTGGGCGTGGCCATAAGGCACAGAAGGGTGGCGATTGGCTGGAGACGGGCTCATTGGCTGTTCTAGGGGAGCATGGTGTGAGGGGCGTGGTCTGTGTGCAGTATTGTACATTACAGAGTGGTCCCAGGAGATCGGCAGGAGGATAGAAAGCGAGTGATCAGCTCCCTGCAGCAGTAGATCTCTGTTACTGCCTCACCTGATACCAGGGCTGCTGTTAGAAACCACGGCCCCGTACACGGGGCTGATGTTAGTAAAAATGGGGCCCCATACAGCCAACCTGACAGCCCCCCCCCTTTTAAAAAAATCAAACACAGTTTACTATGATTTAGTCATGAATGAACACAGTGAGTGATTGGTTCCACTTGTGTTCATTCAGGAAAGATAGGGGTTGGTAAATGTGAAATTTTACTAGGCCCCTCCCCCACTCTTCATCCTGAAGGATCCTAATGTGTGGGAAGGAAAGGAGGGAAGTCGGCAGAACAGGCAGGGGTGGCGGGCACATAGGGATGGTCATGGGTGTAGTGGGGGGGGGGGCAGACTGACAACTCATGGGGCCCCCTGGCAATAGGGGATCATGGGGCCCCTGTGTCCTTGCCCAAACTCAAAAAAGCCTATGAAAAAGGTACCAGGGGCATCTCATGTGACCCCCGGGCCCTCGGGCAGTGCCCGAGTTTCCAAATGGTCAGTCTGCCCTTGGGGGGGGGGGGGTGCAATTACTGGACCGAGAGGAGAGGAGAAGCTGGCTTTCAGCTGCTGCAGAGGGAGCCATACAGGGGTTCAGTTCCAGGAATTGCCCCCCCACACTGTGCTGACCACTCTCCAATTCACCCAGCTGCCTGGGGCCCCCTGCTGGCCTGGGCCCCGTACAGGAGGACTGGTGGTTTCACCTTATCCACAGCCCTGCCCATACAGCCAACCTGACAGCCCCCAACCCCCCAAAAAAACACAGTTTACTATGCTACTTTTATGAATAAATACAGTAAGTGATCGGTACTGATCACCCATTGTGTTCATTCAGGAAAGGATTGATGGGTGTGGCAGGGGGGACAATTACTGGAACTGATCTCCTGTATGGCTCTCTGCAGCAGCTGAAAGCCAGCAGGAGGGAAAGCAGAAGCAGCTTTCAGCTGCTGCAGAGAGAGCCATACAGGGGATCAGTTCCAGTAACCCCCCCCCCCCATACCCTCTCTGCCAACATCCGATTCTCCAATCTGCCTGGGCCCCCCTGCTGGCCTGGGCCCCGTACAGGAGGACTGGTGGTACCCCCTTATCCACGGCCCTGCCTGATACAGTTATAGTTTGGTCGCTGTCATTGTCACTTGTTTGGCATGCAAGGTAAATGTAAATGAAAAATAAAAACACTGAATAATCCAAGTCCAAACATGAACTATATACAGATATTGGAATAAAACATTGTACGCAATAGAGGGCCTATAAGAAAAGGTGACTCTCGGGGCTCATTCACACCAGAACACAGATCCCATGTGTACTTCCCACACCATGTTGCAAGGGCACTGGGTGTGCAATCTGCCGTGGGTGTCAATGCATTCCTAATGACACCCCAAATGCAGATCTCTAACAGTGCGTTTGCCTGCACTGGATAGAATGGTGCGTTTTTGAAAAGTAGTACATACAGTCCAGTGTGATTTGGGCTGAAAATCACACTGCAATGAATCGCACAGGAATGTGGCCTGCGTTTCCGTACAATTCAGATGTGAACCAGCTATTGATGAGTATTTGTTTAAGCAATCAGGGCCAGTTCACATCACTGAAACAAACTCGGATGCGTTCCGGATATGTTTTTGCTTACAGTTCACACGACACTGCGCTGCGCTTTTGATGTGTTTTGCTATGTTCCAGTACAGTTCTGTGCAGAAAAAAATGCAGCATGTTCTACTTTTTTTTCTGCGCTGGAACTGACTGCACTGGTGTGAGCTAAGGTCATTGGAACACATGGAAAACACTGTGCATGCATTTTTGATGCAGAAAAAAAAAAACGCATTGGACTGCATCTGGTGTGAACCAGCCTTTAGACCAAGTCCACACCTACGCAGGTTGTGGCTGATGCATTTTTCCAGGGCATTTTGTGATGCGGTTTGCATTTTTCCACATGCATTTCTAATGCGCTTTTGATGTGGTGTCTGTTAGAATGCAGAAAATGCACTAAAAATGCATGTAAATGCAGTTTTTCATGCATTTCCATTGAAGTCTATGGAACCAAAAATTCAATCTGCTGCTGGCAAAAAGTCCCTGATCCTTTCCAAAAAAGCACTGGTTGAAAATGCATAGATGTGAACATGACTCATACAGCGCCGATGCTTCCACTAGGCAAACTAGGCAGCCGCCTAGGGCGCACTGCCACCTAGGGGCGCCTGCGCACAGGCACTCTCTCGTCATGAATGATCCTTCAGCTGAGGGGAAAGGCAGCAGAGGGGAGGAAGAAAGGACAGAGGAAGATGCCGGGTATCTGGGTCCAGTGTAGCAGCCGAACTGCTGCGCCTTCCAGTGTTCCTCTCAGACTCAGTCCCTTACTGCAAACTGGCTGGTGGCTGCTGATCACTGTGGAGTTCCAGCCTTCTCTTCCCATTCATTAGTGGAGGCGGAGCTGCGCCTGTGGAGGAAGGTAATGTCTGACTCTGATGTCTCGTGTCTGTATGAGTTTGACCCCGCCGGACATCCATCACATGTGCAATGTGTCAGTGAGTGATGACATCTTCACAATCCCACAGCCTGCTCTTCTAGTGCCTGCTGATCTGTGTCAGTGTTGGTGGTGGTGTGTTGTGTGTTGTGTCAGATCTGTCACTGTGTGGGATCGCTCAGTTTAGGTGTTCTCTGCATGTGTGGGGGCTGGGCTGCCTGCTGTCACACATTTTATCTCCCCCCATTACCTGGGAAATTCCAGCCTGGGATCTGTCAGAGTGTGGATCCATCATCCTCCACTCACTGCAACTGTCACCCTGCTACTGCCAGCCACAGATACAGTCCATCCGTGTCACTGATTTTGTCTTTAATATTGGTGCTGGTGGCATCTTATAGCACTTATTTTTGCAGATTAAAAGAAATTTAGCAGTTTCATGTGATGTTCATTTAATATTTTCTACTGTCTTCATTTCCGCCCCCTTCACCTGCTACATCTGACTCTGCTCTCCAAGCTTCATTTTTGATGCACAGGCACATCCTGGACTCTACTTCCTGATCCTATAGGCATAGTTTGCTGCTGGACGGCTGGATGTCTCACCTGGATCTAATTACCACACGATAGTCTTTTTAACCAATTATCTTCAGCAACAAATGTGTTTTCATCAAGAAGTACCGAGCCTGCATTGACCTGATGAAGCAGCTTGGCAACCCTGCACCTCCAAAAAGGAGTACTTATTTTCAGATCCAGGCACCATACCAAGAGGTGGAAGATTTCCTGTAAACAGGCAGTTCCTTCCAGCCAGCCCCTTTGAGGAAACCTCTGGTTACCTGGATCTTATTCATCTTTACTGAGTCCTGTCATCGCACAGAAGGGAGGATTGCCCAAGCTGACCAGACCTCTGACCAGACCCCAGATGAGGGATTTTATACAACGCTCTTACCCTATTTATTTCTGGTGAGTGCGCATTTCTATCAATTCCTAAGGAGCACCACCAGTACCTAGTACCGTATTTGCCAGCGTATAAGACGACTTTTTGACCCTAAAATCTTCTCAAAAGTCGGGGGTCGTCTTATACGCCGGTACACATGTTAGGGGGGCTGCGGCATTAAGTACAGGGGTTTGCAGGGGCTGATGTCTCTTACCTGGATCCAGTCCCACGACGATCCGGTCCAGGAAAGCGCGGCGGCGTCTCCTTCAGTTCGGCCACTGGATGTTCGTGCGGCTGCTCGGCTCCGCTCCTCACACCGGTGATTGGCCTCCAGAAACTGTAGCTCAGGAAAGGCACACAGGCGGCCAATCACCGGCGAGGGGGCTGAGCGGCCCCGCGAAAATCTGAGTGCCGGAGCAGCAGGTAAGTTGTTCTGTGTAGTAGAGGTGCTGCTGCAACCACATATGCTGGCTGCAGCAGCACCATACGAGAACCTCAGCAAGTCTCAGTGGGAGGAATAGTGCCCCATCATTGGTGTCACTGATACCAATGATGGGGCACTATTCCTCCCACTATACCAACGATGGGGCACTATTCCTCCCACTGACACCAACGATGGGGCACTGTTCCTCCCCCCACCACTGACACCAACGAGTGGGGCACTATTCCCCCCCCCACTGACCCAACGATGGGGCACTATTCCACCCCCCCACTGACACCAATGATGGGGCACTATTCCACCCCTACTGACACCAATGATGGGACACCATTCCTCCCACTGACATCAATGATGGGGCAACTATTCCTCCCAGACACACAATGATGGGGCACTATTCCTGCCACTGATACCAATGATGGGGCACCATTCCTGCCACTGATACCAATGATGGGGCACCTATTCCCCCCACTGATACCAATGATGGGGCACTATTCCTCCCACTGATACCAATGATGGGGCACTATTCCTGCCACTGATACCAATGATGGGGCACTATTCCTCCCACTGACACCAATGATGGAGCACTATTCCTCCACTGATACTAATGATGGGGCACTATTCCTGCCACTGATACCAATGATGGGGCACTATTCCTCCCACTGGGAGCACTATTCCTCCACTGATACTAATGATGGGGCACTATTCCTGCCACTGATACTAATGATGGAGCACTATTCCTGCCACTGATACCAATGATGGGGCACTATTCCTCCCACTGACACCAATGATGGGGCACTATTCCTCACTGATACTAATGATAGGGCACTATTCCTGCACTAATGCCAATGATGGGGCACTATTCCTGCCACTAATACCAATGACACCCTCCCACTGACATCAATGATGGGGGGCACTATTCCTCCCATACAAGAGGGGTAGTCTTATACGGCGAGTTAGCCCAAACACTTTTTAGCAGGAAAAAGTGGGGAGTCTCTTATAATCGTCTTATACGCCGAGCAAATACGGTAGTTTCACCTTTTCACAAGTCATAGATTTATGGACGTTGTCTTGATTTTATTGAATTTCATATGATTTTAGCGCTGCACTAATCTATATTAATATTTTCTACTGTTTTTAATTTTTTTTTCTTTTTCTGAGGGGGGGGGGGCACAAGTAGCTGGTCTTGCCTAGGGTGCAAAATAGTCTAGCACTGGCCCTGGACCCATAGGCAATCATGTTAAACGGACTGTAGAACATTTCTGCAAATCTGAAAATGCACTGCAAAATGTAGCCTTAGTGATGACCAATCAGTTCACAAATGGTCAGAGATTGGATCTGTCTGATCAGTGGCATACCTAACATATCTGGCACCTGGAGCCGATCATTTTTTTTTAACACCTCCCCCCTTACAAACAAAATTACTACCTGGAGCAATAAACTTGGTTGTGACCTAACAGTGGGAGGAGCTTAAAGGCATTGTTCACCTTTACCAAAAACTGCTGATGCGGGTAAGGGGGAGTCTGTAGAAAAAAACAAACTGCAACTTTGACCAAAGTTGAATAATGCCCTTGATATAGGTGTTGGCTATTTAAGTACCTCCTGAAGCCTGACTGAAATGACTCCCAGAGATGACATCATCTCATCCTGCTTTGTTGCTAGGACATTGCTAAGAGATACTGTCAGGAATGGTCTTATCTCTGGTAGTGCTGGGGCTTACCTGCCTTGTGGGCTGCAGTACCAGTGCTGGCCAGCGGGTGCTCTCAGCAGCCAGTGTCTCACTCCTGCAATCAGGCCATCACCTGAGGCTGATTGCAGGAGCTGTATTAAAGCAGGACCAGGCCTGCAGTCAGTGCCTTGGTGTATTGCTCCCTTGTGCCCTGTATCCTGCCTGACGCTCCTGTGGGACTCTGACACTGCTTGAACTCTACCCGTACCAACCCTGCTATTCCTGACCACTCTTCTGCCTGCTCCTTTGTACCTTGTCTGCCCGTTAGCTATCGACCCGGCCTGCCTGACTACGTTTGTGCTCCAAACATATTTATATCAGTTAAGGTTTGGGTTTTGTTTGCACTTCGTTGTACATATTTATATTAATTTAGGTTTGGTTTGTTTGCACTGCGTTTGTGTATTGTATAACCTTTAATAAATTATATTGTTTTACACCTTACTTGAAGCCTGCGTTTCCCTGTGTCAGTCCACACATCTCTGGTCATACCCGGATCCCTGACAGACTCCCAGCACTTACTGTACACCTTCACTATCACAGGAGCGAGCTCTTTCTCTGATTCAAACCCCCTCACATGCACTTTCCATCCCCTGGCATAGTAGTTCTGAGCTCAGCTGGCTTTTCTAGGTGTGTGGTGTTTGGGACCTTTTTAGGTGTGTTATTCCAGTTAACAGGTACAAGGCAGGCCATCACTGGAACAGGGCAGAAGGACCCTAACAAACCAGCAGTTCCCATGGGGATAAATCTACATAAACGTTTTTGCATCACTTTCACCCAAAATGCACACTTTTTCTAACTGGATTCAGGCGAATCTCTTGTGAAAACATTTATAAATATACGAAAAACATTTATAAATATACGACTAAGTGTTGATTCTTTTTGGGTTGGCTGAATATAGGGATAAGGTTTGAGTTTGCAAAGATTCATTAAGTTTCCAAACCACAAACGTTTGGTTGAAACATTTTCAGGTTCACCATCAGAATAAGTATAGTGCCTTTATAGGTAGCCAGGGGGAGCTAGCTACATTTTTTAGTGAGGAAAGCTGAGTAGCTGCCAGGGCATGAGTTAGCCTGGGTGTGAGTCAGCCAGATCATCTTAGGACAGGGCTGAGGGCTCTGCAGATCAGTTCCCTGATACCTCTCCTTGCTCTACAGACTTGGGAAGTTTTTAGAAGGCAGTGGGTGGGGGGTGAGGAGGGGCTGATCTACATACTTAGGGAATCCTGACCCATCCCCAGGCAGGAGGCTTGGCATGGGGTCGGGAGAGCTCTTAAATATGACTGAGCCTGCTCTGCAGCAGGAGAATTTGAATGGAAAATGAACTGCGAGGCTGCTGGGATGCAGGGGCATGGGAAGGGACCCAGTGGGAAGGGGCCTACCTCCAGGCTGGAACTGAAAGGAGGATTGCTCATCTTCAGCAGTCCCCTGAGAGAGGACCACGTGTGCAGCAGGAAGTAGCAAGCCCAGGGGTAGGCCTGAAGGCAGCCAGCAACACAGTAAGCTAGCAGGAGAGAGAGTGAGAAGTCCTACACCCCCTGAGCTGGAAAAGGGGAAAGGACATTCAGGTGGGAAACCTGACTAGCCCCCATCAAGAACTGTTTGATTTAAAGAGACAAATTCTGGGTCCCCTTTCCCAAGGATACACCAAGTACAGCTGGATGCGGAGAGGATTCATCTGGGGTCTGGGGTGGTACACCAGGAGAGGCTGGAGAGCTCTCCAGGAAGAAAAATTCCTGTCCTTGGACTTGTACATAGTTGTTAGGAAGTTGTCCTTGGGCATCTCATACATCCCTCATCTCATACATCCCTCAAGCCCATCCAAGTTTACTGCCCCTTAAAAAAACAAGCCTAAGGATTGTTTACTGTCTCCTGTGTGAAAGGTCAGAAGAAAATGTGTGTTTCCTGGCTGTGCAGGACTATAGGGGGACCCAAAACTCAGCAACTTCTAAGGGGGTAGTGCTACATAGGAAACAAACCATAAACTACAGCCATGTAATGGAATATAGTCAATTACATACAGTATTTCCACACTTCAGTCCTCCCAAGTGATGACGCCACAGTCTTTCAGTAGCATACAGATATAGAACAGAGCAGAGAGCCAAGTCAAGGACCAGACTATACTTTAGGGATTGTCCTGCATCCCACACCCAAGGAATGTGAGTAGTCCCATAGTCCTGCACCTCTCATTCCTTGCTTGCCCCCTAAAGGGAAGCTCCCAGAAACTAGATCCCCAAAAGTTTACTTTTCTTTTTAACATTCTTTATTTAAGAATTTTACATACAGACAGGAATACTTGAAAGCCAAGCACATGATTCAGCATAAGCCATTTCCACGGTAAAACAACATACTGGACAAAGCAATGAACCTTCCTGTTCAATGAGTGTACACTAAAAGCTATCTTCAGGGTCAGAACTTAGATATCACATCAAAGAAAGTATGCACCCCATCTGTGTTTTTAACAGAATAACACCACAGAAGACAGATTCTCAGAAAGAAATACAGGAATCAAGGATGGAAAGAGGGGTTGGGGGAGAAAAAAAGAAGAGGGGGGGGAGAAAAAGAAGAGAGGAGGGAGGCAGGGGACTTACAAGGGAAAGGAATTCTCACTCATCCTAGTGCACAATTGATGCATATTCTCTTGAGCAGGTAAAGAGGGTCCAATAGAACCAGCTACGGTGGAACCAGTTTCACCAGCAGTCTTTTCACCACTGGCACCCGCATCTTCAGTGTGGGCACCCGGCTGTGACATCCTGTGGCTTCACAGCCAGATGCCCACTGCGCATGTGCAAGCTTTCTGAATGGTCCTGTAGTCCTGAGACCTGGCATGTGTCCCAGAAGACTACGGGGAGGGAGGGGTGGAGGACAACTTCCGCTTCTGATCACATAGGCCAGGGTTGTCAAACTGGCGGCCCTCCAGCTGTTGCGAAACTACAAGTCCCATCATGCCTCTGCCTTTGACAGTCATTCTTGTAACTGTCAATCTTGTAATGCCTCATGGGACTTGTAGTTTGGCAACTGGAGGGCCACCAGTTTGACAATGATGACCTAGGCGATTGAAGCGGAAGTGGAAGCGGGTACTTGTCAAAATCAGGTACCTGCTACCCCCTCTGCTCCCCAAAAATACCAATCCTATACAGGCACCGGGGGATGAAGCCTTAAAACAGAACTTCCCCTTTTGGGTGGAGCTCTGCTTTAAGCAGTCCTTAGATGGATCCAATCTCGGCCAGTTCAGCAGGGACAATGGCCCCTATGGAACTATGGGGAGGCTGGTAGTACTAAAATAGATTCATGGATTGACTTCAGTACTACCAGCCTGTCAGATTTTTTTCATGCAGTTTACTGCCGGCAGCTACTGTAGATAACAGTAATCATTGTGTTATGCTGCTAGAGAAGGCTCCCCGCCGGCAGAACACAATAGTGCTGCGTGAGGGCGCCTCCCATCAACACAGTCAGCAACCAGTTTTCTTTCCTGCAACCCTGCCAAATCTTCCAATTGTTATAGCCTACAACCCCTGTAGATCCCATTAGTCACCTTTTTAGGCTTTTCTTTAAAGAGCATCTCTAAACATTTCAGAAAGTTAGTTACATATATCCTGATGTCAAGCCTTGTATCCCGGAACTGGACCTGTAGAGTCCCATCCACTAGAGTGGAATTATATAACAGAGTCAAAGAGATCCAATTGATAGACACCCTAATGACAAAAGTGAATAACACGCTGGACATAAACAATTAAGTTTATTTTTGTTGCCAGTAGTGCCAAAGGTCCAAAAAAAGTCCTGCAGCTGAGAATATTACTGCCCCCCAGGCAGAACAATTAGTCTATAATAAACCAGCGCAATATTTATCCAAAAGTCCATGTACAATGAAAAATCTTATGCTTTCATCAGATTCGTCAAGAAATGAAGCATTGTATACAAATAAATCCTCCTTTCCTCCTCTTCTCTTCCGTCCACTCCACTGCACGTACTCCCCAAAAAAAAAAATATAGTGTAGTATGTTCTAACTACGCACATGGAAGAAAAATATATTTGAAATATAATTTAAAAATATCCTTCCCAAATATATTGACATATATTTGAAATGCTAAAATTTTGGCCATATTCAATATACTTCAAAATATATTTCAATAAATATATATATATATATACTGCATGTTGAAACATGTTTTTTTATATATTACAAAATATATGAAAAATATTTAAAAAATTTTTTTTTTAAATGTATTCTACAGATTTTTTTTAACATATAAAAAAGTCATTTTAACATATATTTTTACATATATCTGTAAATGCAATCCAAAAATGTAGATTTGTATTTTTAAGGACATACAGTATATTTGAAATGTATTTTTAAAAATATTTTTCATATTTCAACATGCAGTGTGTGTGTGTGTATATGTGTATATACAGTATGTAACGGAACCGGAACCCAGACCGCACTGAGTTTTTCCGTTATACCACAGCTTCCCCTGTCCGAACACCATCCACGGACCACACCCTTGAAATCCCTCAGGAAACAGACAGCACCCAGCTCTTCTTAATACACGAAGCCAACTACTTTTATTGTACACAAACAACATGTTTTATACAGAGGGCGGGGAAAGACAACCAGGGACAGGAAACACATCATCAGCCCACCCTATCAGTGGGAAGGGCTACAGTATAGGCAGGAAACACCTCATCACCCCTCCCCATCCAACCAAGACACAGAACAATGGGATGAAACACATGGTAAAGGACATTGACCAACCCCCACACCAATACACAAACAGTACATCCCATAATAGTTGGCTGGACAGGAAGACACAGCACAATGGGGGGTAGCACATGGCAAACAGACAATGGACAGCCATGTGGCCGAGAACAAAGGAACACACACTATACACAAGACTCAGACATTCACATACACACCCTGTACCCCTTAACAGGCACAGGGTGCCTTAAACATAATGGGAATTTGGGAAGATGACACAGAGGTCCCCCCACCCAAAGTCACTCCCGTCACACAGTATATATATATATATATATATATATATATATCGTATTTTTCGCTCCATAAGACGCACTTTTTTCCCCCCAAAATAGGGGGGAAAATGTCAGTGCGTTTTATGGAGCGAATATGGAGCGGCCGGTCCGGTATTTCCACCGCCGCCGAGTCAGAATACCGGGCCGGCCGCTCAGCTCTGCAGCGGGACCTTATGGAGATGACTGCTGACCTTTGGGGAGGGAGGGGGAGCGGGTACCTGAATTTGACAGGTACCCGCTCTTACTTCCGCGGAGTTGTTCTTTGACCTTACCTGTTCCTCTATCCAGCGGCGCACTGTCTTCCCGGCTTCTGTAGTGTGGGCGCTGGGCTTGACAGCCGGGTGCCAAGTGCGCATGCGCAAGAAGCGGTGCTTTTTGTGAATGGTAAGGCGGTACCTGGGACACATGACAGATCCCAGAAGCCGCCGGACCAATCACAAAGCGCAAGTGCTTCTCGCTCATGCGCACTGGCACCCGGCTGTCATGCAGAGCGCCCACACTACAGAAGCCGGGAAGACAGCACGCGGCTGGATAGAGGAACAGGTAAGATCAAATAACAACTCCACGGAAGTAAGCGGGTACCTGTCAAATTCAGGTACCCGCTCCCCACCCCCCCAAAGGTCAGCAGTCATCTCCTGTGCTGTCCGCAGTCTCTGGTCATCCCTGTGCTGTCCGCAGTCTCTGGTCATCCCTGTACTGTCCGCAGTCTCTGGTCATCTCCTGTACTATGTCTGCAGTCCATTAGTTCATAATTTTTTTTTCCTGTTTTCTGCCTCTAAAACCTAGGTGTGTCTTATGGTCAGGTGCTTCTTATGGAGCGAAAAATACGGTGTGTGTATATATATATATATATATATATATATATATATATATATATATATAATTTTTTTTTTTTTTTTTTAATATATTGAATATGGCCAAAATTGTAGCATTTCAAATATATGTCAATATATTTGGGAAGAATATTTTTCAAATATATTTTTCTTCCATATGGGTAATTAAGTGAATAGAATACTACTACCACTACTACCCCTACCCCCTCCCTCCTAGATTGTAAGCTCGAAAGAGTAGGGCCCTCTAACTCCTCGTGTGCTGTTTGCAGTTGCTGTACTGTTTCATGTATTGTCCCCCCCTCTATTGTACAGCGCTGAACAAACCCTTTGGCGCTATATAAACTCGATGTAATAATAATAATAATTATAATGCGCTCACATTTCAAATGGCATAATGTGCTCCAAAAATATTATTAATAACCGTGCGATCATCACCGTTCTCAGTATTTATCTCTTATCCTCCAAAAAAAATTCCATGCATTTAGTCTATATGTGTATCTTCTCCACAACTCCTCCTCAGAATCTTCTTAGTGTATCAAGTGCACCATGCACCTCAAATGTTCACACCACCACTAGTGCTCCTCCCTTCCCCTTTTGGTAATGCACCTTACCCTCTGTAAATTGAATATACGCCTTTTTGAAACTCCCTGTTAAATGTCCAGTGTCGCCTCTTCTCTATATTCCGTGTCACATCCTCCCGACATGTGTAATCAAAAACAAAATTCTTTAGTGCAGCAGTATGTATAAAATCACACTTTATTAACAGGTTCCGCACTGCCCTGTAGCAGAAATACTGCTAAAGGGCGGCACGTGTGCACAAAATCATGTATATATACATGATTTTTCAGTTCCAGGTAGGAGGCACGCTCCTTACCTGTGCCGCCATTTGCGGCCTCGGCTGTGAATCATCGGGTCCTAGCTGGCGATTACTTGCCGGCACCTGGTGACCGCCGAGTATCTCCGACGGGGGAGAGACCTGTGTATAAACAACACAGATCTCTTCCCTGTCAGCTCCTGCACACTGCTTTGTATGGCTCTGCATAGCAGAGCCATACAAAGCAGTGTGCTTACAGTGGAAAACACACACACTGTGAAACAGCACACAGTTAACCCTTGGATCGCCCCACATGTTAACCCCTTCTTGCCCAGTGTCATTAGTACAGTATCAGTGCTTTTTATTAGCACTGACCACTGTATTGGTGTCACTGGGGATGTAAGTGACACCAAGACAGTTCCCCCCCAGTGTCAGAATGCCCGCTGCAGTCGCTGATCAGTGCCATTACTAGTAAAGAAAAAACAAATTCCAGTATATATACCACAATTTGTAAATGCTATAACGTTCACGTAAACCAATTGATTTACATGTATTGGGATTTTTTTTTTAAGCAAAGACATGTCGCAGAATATATTTTGGCCTAAATTTATGACTAAATTTGATTTTTAAAATCTTTTCACTGGACATGTTTTATAGCAAAAAGTCAAAAATAGTTTTTTTTCTCAAAATTGTCATTTTTTTTGTTTATAGCGCAAAAAATAAAAAACGCAGAGGCGATCAAATACCACAGAAAGCTCTATTTGTGGGAAAAAAGGACATCAATTTCATATGGGTGCAGCGCTGCATGACCGCGCAATTGTCAGTTAAAGTAGCACAGCGCCATATCACAAAAAATGGCCTGGTCAGGAAGGGGGGGTAAATCCTCAGGAGGGCAAGTGGTTAATTAAAATCTGCTTACATGGATTCCAGATACAAAAAACACCTTCTCTAAAATGGCCGCTGTGGTACATCCGGTTTGCGTCTGACGTCACTTGCGTCTGACGTCACTTCCGACTAACGCGTTTCATTATAAATTGACTTCCTAATAGGCTGTGAATGTCAGACGCGGCTAGACCATCCATTTATAAAAAGTTCAATACCACCCCTCTTGGAGACCTCGTCAGCCATTTACTTACTGGAGAAGTACAGCCAAAGCTCTTTTGGCTGTACTTTTCCTGTGGATCACAGGAGTGCAGTTAGTCCTGCACTCCCATGACCCATTGTCAGCTGACAGTGGGCTGACATCACTCAGCCGGTCCAGGCTGGGGAAAGATCCCAACTTTAAAGTCGTGATCCACCCCAAAGTCTGGAGTGGCACCTGGCTCACAGAGGCGTCCCTAAGGTTGGTGTCACCAGGTGCGGTAACACGTGGTGTCACCCCTCCAGAGAGTAAGGAGTGGTGCTGGTGTAGCAGTAAAATGAGTATCCCGACCCGTGAAGATATGTATCCCCTGAAGAAACTGCGCATGTGCCGGAGTCAGGCTGAAGAAGCTGAAAAAACAGCCTTACTTTCAGTCCTGCACAGTTGTACACTATCTTCTCCTGAACTGAAATTAATTACTCTGATTTTGCTGTATATTGTAAGCTTCTCACAGTGTGCGTTAGAAGCTGCAGCTAGTCATATACAGCCCACCTAATTTCTTGGCTATAGGACATCCAACATCATCTAGCTATTTTCTCCCCAGCCTTCCTGTCCCTGGCCTGCCTTTGTGCTTCATTGGACATCAGTTCTTTGAATCATGGGGGCTTAACATCACATGGGAATGTCAAGATGGCATGCATGCAATCACAGCCTGCCTAGGAGCGCCCACTTCTACAGACTGTCATCTGCGCATCAAGGCATTTTGATATTTGAGTAAGTCCTCCCAAGAGCCAGCCCACTGTTTGCTTCAAGGCTGAGGACTTTTGAGAGGCATACTGAAGCAGGGTGCTTTCAGATGGATGTTTTCAGGAAGCTATGTATAGTACCTTGCTGGCCCCTCCCATATGGAAGAAATATATATTTGAAATATATTTTTAAAATATTCTTCCCAAATATATTTACATATATATGAACTGCTACAATTTTGGCCATATTCAATATATTTCAAAATATATTTCAATAAATATGTATATATATATATATATATATATATATATATATATATATATATATATACACACACACACACACTGCATGTTGAAATGCATTTTTATTACAAAATGAAAACTATTTTTAAAAATACATTTCAAATATACTGTATGGCTTTAAAAATACAAATCTACATTTTTGGAATGCATTTACAAATATATGTAAAAATATATGTTAAAATTACTTTTTTATATGTTAACAAAAATCTGAAGAATATATTTAAAAAAAATATATTTTTTAAGAATATATATATTTTTAAAATATTGTGGCATTTCAAATATATGGCAATATTTGTGAAGAATATTTTTAAAATATTTTTAAAATATATTTTTCTTTCATGTGGGCTACCAGGATCTACATAAGCCTGCATTGCATAGAGAAACACAGAGACCTAGTGATGACTCCACTGGGTGTGAAATAAAGTATGTAATAAAAATAAAAAGGTTTTGTAATTAGCATGTTGATGAAGGAGGAGGTAGGAACCAGGAAAAGGAAAATATAAGCAGAATAAACTTCCTTTAAGAATAAAAAAAGCTTCCAACAGTGTTGTACTTTCATAATTTCTGAAGTCTGCAAATGAATAAATATCTCTTGCTCTGAGCAGCAAGACCTCCATTCACACTAGTACAGCTTCTCCTGCATCTGCCATTGCTCTGCAATGCATGACAATGGAAAATCACATTATTCTCCATGGTGCCTATTCACATCAATGAAGCAATTTTTGAAAAGGTGCAGGTGCTTCTCTTGGTGGGTCTCATGCCCTATAGCAGCGGTTCTCAACCTGAGGGTCGCGACCCCTTTGGGGGTCGAACGACCATTTCCCAGGGGTCGCCTAAGACCATCGGAAAACACATATTTCCGATGGTCTTAGGCACCGAGACGCCGCTCCTGTCTCCGGCGATGTGTGGGCGGGATGATATGCTGCCCCTGTCACCGCCTCCTCGCCGCTGATTGGCCACCGGAACTGTAGCTCAGGAGAGGCACACAGGCGGCCAATCACCGGCGAGAAGGTGGAGCTTGGAGAGGAGGAGCCGAGCGGCAGCGCGCGGAAATCGAAGAAGATCGAGGGAGCTGCAGGAACGAGTGAAGAGAGAGGCCAGAGAACGAAGACAGCTGACAGGTAAGTGCAAATTTTGCTGCTGCAGCCAGGTATGCAGGCTGTAGATGGGAGAAGGAGAGAGCGAGCCGAGGCTGGAGCAGGAGTCAGCAAGGTAAGTATCATTGGTGTCAGTGGGAGGGATAGTGCCCCATCATTTGTGTCACTGATACCAACGATGGGGCACTATTCCTCCCCCCACTGACACCAACGATGGGGCACTATTCCTCCCCCCACTGACACCAACGATGGGGCACTATTCCTCCCCCCACTGACACCAACGATGGGGCACTATTCCTCCCCCCACTGACACCAACGATGGGGCACTATTCCTCCCCCCACTGACACCAACGATGGGGCACTATTCCTCCCCCCACTGACACCAACGATGGGGCACTATTCCTCCCCCCACTGACACCAACGATGGGGCACTATTCCTCCCCCCACTGACACCAACGATGGGGCACTATTCCTCCCCCCACTGACACCAACGATGGGGCACTATTCCTCCCCCCACTGACACCAACGATGGGGCACTATTCCTCCCCCCACTGACACCAACGATGGGGCACTATTCCTCCCCCCACTGACACCAACGATGGGGCACTATTCCTCCCCCCACTGACACCAACGATGGGGCACTATTCCTCCCCCCACTGACACCAACGATGGGGCACTAT